AATCTGAATTTGCTTTCTTTCTGCATGGCAGGTTCTATTGACATGTTTTGCAGGGAAGGGTGGTTGAAACCTGGAAGATGTCTACATCTTTGTTTTATATATTTTGCACATTTATATAGAGCAGTCGTTCTCAACCATTGATGTTTCGTGCACCCCTTGTGGATTGGCGGAGATGATGAAGGACCGTGTTCGTTGTGAGGGGAACGGAAATGTGTGGGTTAATTATGATAATGAATTTAATAAATAGATATAACTAAGGGCTAGTGTGAAGTAGACTTCTCTCATTGACATACATACAAGAAAACTCACCAGAAAATTGGAACGTTTCTTCTCAAAATGAAAAAAAACTTGTGTTGCTGGGCTGGACTGATGAGGCAGGGTTTGCGGACCCCTGGAATGCCTTCATGGACCCCCATTTAAGAACCTAGTGATATTGAGAAATGTATTTCTGAAGAGTACCAGCACTCCTACCTCGTAATAAAGAGGATGAGGCATTATATTGATAAGCTATCGTAAAATAGGGTTACTTTGTGACATATTTCGTACGTTTTCATTCTTTCGCTGAACAATTATCAAGATAAACGCGAATGAATAGTGGCATAACGTTTCTAAAACCTTCCCTCACACGGCGGTATGTTCTACAAATCTGCATCTTGCCTTTTCAATATGGGAAGCATAAGTGACATGAACCAATCTTCGAAAACTTGGTGATCGAACCAACCAGATTTTGTTTGATTATACCGGGCCCCCTCTGGTCCATTTTCTGTCCATGTCGACCAAAGCTTTTCTGCTTTGTAATTGACTTAAAGTGGAGCCAACTCTCCCACAGCACTTCCACAAACCATAATTGAAGTACATGCTTTTGGTGCGTTTTTTCATTTTTTTTGGATACTTAGCTCCTCTTCTAGTTATCACGTTTTTGCTCCCTGGATCATCCTGTACATTTGTTTCGCCATAGTTCCAAATGTTTTTGTCCCGAATACCATCTAGCTCATTTTTAGATGTTTTAATAGTACTCACGAACCTTTCGGATGCTGCCCTCAGTGACAATTTCTTTGAAAGGACCAACTGAACGGCATATATAATTTAAACTAAAATTGGAGTGGGGTAACTTTGTGACAATTGGCGTGTCAAAATTACCCCGCGAAGTATCAACATTTCAGTTTCTTTTCTATAACGTTAAACAAACATGACTTGATTAAATTTATATTACAGTTTATTTTAGCCCACATATTAACAATCAGAAGTACATACCTGTTTTCGCTGTTTTCCTTGTGCGGACTGGTCAAGCACATAAAGTTTACGGTGCTTCAACAATGCGCTCTAAAACACCATTCAACTGTCGACGTCTAGAGTGGCTCCGGAGCGCGGGGACTTCGGCCGGCTGCCGCTAGATGGCACGGCATGTCAGGCGAGCTTGTTGAGTGGCTCATAGCTTTTCGGCGGCGCCTGGTCGTGGCACGAGATTTAAAATACAGAAAACCGAGCATGTGTCATAAAGTAACCCCATGCAGTCTCAAAGTAACCTCATTTTACGGTATGCAGTGAATTTAACTAGTGTTCCTATAATCCGGTCAAGGCAGATATTGGCATCCATATTGCTTAGAGAGAAAACACGTCTAAACTGAAAATGTTGGTCTAGCAGATTGAGTGTCGGCCACTGTTGTGAAATCGGCTTTTGCAGTGGTTCTTCTCTTATGAAGTTGAAGCTGTCATGGGTACCCTACTGAAAAACCCAGTAACTTTTCACTATCTGGATTATGGAACTGGAAATCTAACTTGAATTGTTTTTGAAAACTGGACATCCAGATTGCAGATAAAGGAATTATTTCTGAAAACCTGGAATTCAGATAGAATCCAAATAGATTTCCAGTTTCATAATCTAGATAGCGAAAATTATACTGGCTTTTTCAGTAGAGTAGGCAAGGCAGTTTCAACTTGGCTGCAAATAGTGTTTCTGTGTCTGTTTTGCTGACAGTGCAACCATACCTTGAAGTTTACTTTGAAATTGTTTTATTTTTCCCTTTGGCAACAGGCCACACAATTTCTTTGGGCACAGGCCTAGCATATTGCGAGATGGAGCTCTCATCTATCTGGTACATGCTAATGGCAGACGGTGTGGAGCATAGGTTTCTGTATCTCATCAGGTGCATATATCCAAACACAGATGTAATTGTATGTCTCTTGTTCTTTGTTTTTGCAGCACAAACTTCACCAAGAGGGATTGTATCATTGTATCCGTGGTGCTTATCCTGGCCATTGTTGTCATCGCAACCACTCTCGCCCTCGGCCTCCCAGTCATCAACGAGAAGCGAGCGCGCTACTTCGACGTCAGTTTCTTCGTCTCTCCATCCGAGCTCAAGTCGTTTAGTTCTGCCGCCGTCGTCGCAGACGCAGAGCCCTGTGCTGACATAGGAAGGTTAGTGGACACTGCTGATGCTTTCTCTTGAAATTTTTCACTGAACACCTTCTGCTAAGGGTGCACTGGCTTTTCTTGTTTGACTGCTCATGTCCAATGGTCAGAATGTTCAGCTTTTTTTTTTGTTGGAGCAGCAATAATGGAGGGCTTTACAAGAGGAGCCTGTCTTGATTTTCTTAACCTGCAACAGACTATGGTAAAAAAAACAGCCTCCACAAACAACAATTGTCTGCTGAAACACACCCAAGATTGAAAAGTCGGAACCACGCTTCATGTTTTTGCGAAAGTGCGGCACCGTGCGTGACATTTACTGTTTTGGCCATCGATCACGTGTTCTAATCTCTTAGCTCTTACTGTACCCTTCTTGTGGCACTTAACCAGGATGGCAGTTATCGTGTTGCTTCAGCCTATCATCATAGTAGTCATGTCGTCATTTCTCGCTTATACTACTGAGTGTTTGTTTTATTCTGTTGAAATTTTTAATTTCATTGAATGTACAATCCTCAGATTCCTGAGGGAACACATATCCTATGAATTAATAAAATGTTTTTATCAGGCAGTCATATTTTTCTGCTGGGATCTGCAATCTGTTTAAGAAAGACAACACAGTTGCCTGAAATTTGAGGCAATGGATTCGGTCTGACATATTGGCCCTACATACTTTTCTTCATGCTTGGCTATAATTGTTTGTCTTTCAAATTATGTTATATCTGTGGCATGTTTTTTTTTTTTATTTCCAGAAATATTTTAGGGAAAGGGGGCTCTGCCGTTGATGCTGCAGTTGCCTTGCTGTTTTGCGATGGTGCTGTCAATCCTCAGAGCATGGGATTGGGTGGTGGAATCTTTATTACAGTATACACCAAGTAAGTTTAGTGGTGCTCTGTTTTCTACTTTGTTTTAGTGTGTGTTTGTTTGGTGACTTGCGCAGCTGGTTCAGATACAGGATTGACACCTACTTTCATTTCATGCTGCATGTTAGTGGCAAGCATTTGACTTTCACATCCCATTTTTTTTTTTCTTTTTGTTCCATCGATCAAATAATTGATTTTTATCCTTGAGGTAAATTGTATGTGACAAACAGCATTTGGGTGAATTGTCTCGCACCGTGCCCCTACTTTGTCCCATCTGAGGGAATTCCGCCAGCTAAAGGGCCTTCCCATTTGCAGGCTAATACCATTAGTAACTAACATGTAAGCCAAAGGGCAAAGCTCTTTTTTTTTCCTTTGAAAATTGTTTTGTATTCATGCTTCATTCCTGTAGCTTGTGCTCCACATGTTGGTTTAAAGTACATCTGGCAGAGTACTTTGTGTGAATTCTCTAGTCTATACGTAATGTGGTCAACTCCTAAAACATTCTCTGCACAAATGTTTTTTTGTGCTATCCACCGACTCATAGAGCAAAATATAAGGGGCATTTTCCTTGAACTTGGAGTGACCTTTAAAATGTGTTAATTTGAGAAGCCTGGTAAATGTATACTCTCTGAATTGTATTGGCATGTTTACTCAAGACTACCATGCTGTTGATGTTAGGCATCCTGACTGCATTATCTGCAGATTTTGAGTTCTTGCACATGCTTCAGATAAGGCAATTCTAGTTTAGAAAATAAGCATTGAGACATTTTACATTAATAAGCTAGGACAGCAGTAAAATGACTAGATCGAACCACTACTTATGTTATGACTAATTTTGTTTTGTTTTTCTTTTTGTCTTGTAGCGCAACAGGTGTTGCGGAAGTGTTTGATGGCCGAGAAGCATCACCTGGAGCAGCAACGCCCGAGATGTTTGTTGGAAACAGCACGTTACTTCAATCGGGTAAGTGATCAGTTCCTCTGATGTCAAGCTCGGTGGATGTATCGCAAGTTATTTTTCCATCTGTATTCACGTGTATGTGCACACAGTTTATTGTTGCTTCTATCCAGCTCCTTTATTGCAGGCAATGCTGGCAACTTCATTTCTTTACTAGTATTTTCTGTGATCCTAATTTCACCACTTAAGAAAAAAGTGTAACATAGTAATTTTAGTGGTGTTCAGAAATAGGGGTCAGTGTATCAGATGTTTTGAAAACAAACCCTCTGCTGCCGCCCCCCCCCCCCCCCCCCCCCCCTTCGGGACTTTTCCCCCTCACCTAGAATTTTACACATGCGGAATTCAAGGGTGAGGAGGGGGGGGGGGGGGGGGGGGGCAGGACATTTGGACCCCCGTCTGGAATCTGCCACTGGTGATGACTAAGTTTTTTTTCAAATTCTAACTTGCATCAAATACCAGATTTCAATGTCAAATGAAAATCCTTATTGCATGCCTTGTAACTCAGTCACTTGGCTTTAGAAGTTCCTTAAAGGGCAACTCCGCTTCATTTTTGGTTTTGAAAAAACAATGCAGTCCCCTTCAGTATCGCCTAAAAAGACCACACGTCAAATATTACGACTCAGTTCTGTATAAATGTTCCTTAAACGGTCCGGCAAACTTTGCAACTCGCCAAGTTGCCGAAATCGGCTGACTCGAGCGGGCGAATTCAGGCGCAACTAACAGCGCAGTCAAGGCTACGGAATGGGCGGAGCCAACATTGAGGTGAACGTCATCATCATGGCCCCCTTTTGCTTGTTTTTACTTACTTTTATTTTTACTCCGGGCGAGCGTAGCACATGACGTCAGCAACGTTGTCTCTCGGCGCTCAGCGGTGTCCACTTGATTGGCGTAACGCACCTGCGCAGGGCGCTTCTTGTGAGCTGTCCGGCCGCCTGCCGTGGTCCCACCGTTACAGACGTGTCCCGGGTCAACCACCGTCGTCGTCTCACCATTTGCGATTATTGTCTCTCGGAGTTTCGTCCACACTACGAACACCACGTGCACAGACTTATGCCGTAGTTGTGCAGACGTCGTCGAATGCCGTAGACACCAAAAAGTGGTGAAAAGTGCGGTGCAGGCAACACGCGCACCTGCCATGCAGGCTTTGCTGCCACACGCCCGCCCCAGTCCCGCCCGTCGTTGGGCCGAGGATCACGTGACATCTCGTACCACGTGATGGCCATGTACTTGGCGGCCCGAGGCCCGTGTTGCCGGATGGAGCCGAAGTTTCGATTTCTGCTCGTGTTTAAGATTAGATTAAAAATATATATATCCCATTTTTCGCGAAGCAAACGACGTAGTGTCTTTTACTAGGGCTTTTTAGTTTGAAGTCACTCGTTATTCCGAAATCTTCGGAATTGAGCGGAGTTGCCCTTTAAGATAAAATATTTTTATGCTTTATTTCTTTTTTTTATTTAATATATATGTTACTGTGCAGTTAACACTGAACTTGCAGTGTCCAAGTGCTGTGAATTTATTATGATAAGTGACTGAATGGCCACTATGTTTGTTGTTTATGCCTGGCTGCTTCTGCAACCATGCAGTGCTTCCGTCTTGTGGTACTGCTCTGGTAGCAAAATGACTCTACATTTCAGTGCTTTAGAAGCATCCACTAGGGGAGACATAGGTATCATATTGTGAAGTGCCAGGCTACGCACATACGGCCTGGCTTCCATCAAATCACTCGGCTTTACCCTGTAAATGTGTATCTCTTTTTTTCTGCCGGCTGCCCATCTCTAATATTTGGTGGAGGTGCGGGTATCGTCATTTTCTGTTCATTTTCATCGCCCTGGACGTTGGTTTCAGCAGTCCTCCGCCGCAGTCAATCGACTTCCAGCTCATAGTCCTGCTGCACAACACCCTCCTCACTGAACTGCCTCAGATGCCTAAGTGACGATGAGACAAATCTTCAAGGAACATAGGCTATGAGGGTTTTAATGAAGGAGGTGAAGAATTAAGTGCCTTGAACAAGATGAACACTTGAGGAGATCGAGGGGCATGCGAACTGATGGTCCTCTGCCCTGTCCCCAGCCCCCGTTTCTATCAAGAATGATCACATGCATTCCCCAGCCCGGATCGTGACGCTATTGGTCCGTGGCTGACTCAGAAGTTGGCCAGGTTACGGAAGGGGCTGCAGGTCAAAAGACACGAAAACACATTCTCATTCTTCACGGCTGGCGACAGTCTTTCGTCTATAAATGTCTTTGTCCTTGTCTTCTGTCTGTGTCTGTGCGCTTTTCAGTTTACACCTGTGTTTCCTTCATTCATCGGCCAGGTCGTCCTTTCTAAAGGAGGGGGAAATGTGACAAACGAGATGACGCTGGGTCGGTGGAGTGCCTGACCATAGTGCACCAGGCTCCGCGCGCACGGCCTGGTTTTACGAAATCATCCGGATTCATCATGTGAACGTGTATCTCTTTATTCCTGTCGGACACTCATCTTTTAACAATATAACTAATTTTAAAGTAGCCTAAAATACCGAGCCAGCACCCGTGTTGTAATAAACAGCGCCTTCTACTTTCAAAGCATTTGAAATGTAAGCAAATGACATAACAGGCGACAACCCCAGCAAACATCTGAGCCCATCAGGCTAATCGAGGTGCTTCTCCACGTCGGCTGCTTCTCCAGCGAAGCTTTATGCACGTGCTTCGGTGCAAAGCAGGGAAAGTAGATGCACAGAGCAGGCTTTATGGGAGCAGGACTGCTGCTTTAGAAATTATGGTGTCCACCAGGCCCTTATACTGCCCGTATACCTTTTCGTAAGATGAAACAAATGCCTCCCTTAGCATGTACTCGGTGCCACTTTTGTTTCTCTGCCCTCAAACCTAAAAAGCGCCCAACCCAATGTTTTGGAATTATCTCATCACTTTTGGTTGGGTACTTGCTCAATATTTCGCAGCATGTTTTCTTGCATACTCAATCGGAAGAGGGGCATTTCTGAAACGGCGCTGGAGAGATGTGCGTTCCCCGAGGTCGAACATTTGGAGAACCCCTGCCTTAAAAACTCGAGGCTCGAGAGACTATCCGTTTTCTTTGCTTTTGTTTTCTATTCGCATGCAGGTCCTCTTTCTGTGGCCATTCCCGGGGAGTTAAAGGCGTACTGGGCTGCCCACCAGAAGCACGGCAAGCTTCCCTGGTCCGACCTTGTGCAACCCACCATCGACCTCTGCAAGAACGGGTTCCCCGTCGGCAAGCACCTGGAAGACAAGATCCAGGGAAAGAGGTCGCAGCTCCTCAACGAGCCCTCGCTCAAGTGAGCACTGCCGCCGCTAGAGATAATTGTACATACAAAGACTGGTTTACACATATGCGTTGTGATCGACCGGGTTGCAACCGCTTGTGATCACCTACGACAAGGCAATCATCTGGTAGCTTTGGGACACCAGAATTTGCTTATATTTTTTCATTTTTTTATGCAGCCTTTTTTCACCGTCGGCTCTGAATACTACTTCTAACAATGTTAAAAGTAGGTTTCAGCGTTTTCGGTAAATGCCGATCCTTGGATAAAAAAAAAACTTGAGCTTCACGGGAAGAAAATGGTCGACAGCTTTATTTTTTGTTGACCTAGAACATGGCCCGAACAAACCATCTGTGAGGCCGCTTCTTGGTTTGGAAGCGCGCGTTTTATCCTGTCCCTTTTTTCCCATAGGCATGGGGACACGTTTGGTGTGTTTGAGTTGTGCTTACGTTCCGTGCAGGTTGGGGAATCCCATGCACGTGTCCCATTTTTTTCCCAATGTAAGCCCCACCAATCCCCCAATTTATTGTCTGATGCCAATAATTGGTACCGAAATACACCAAACCTGCAGAGAAAAATAAACCCTCAAAAAACGCTCCCTAATTCGAAGAAAAATGGACCCCAGAAATTCAGAACCCTAGATATAGGTAGTGCATAGGTAGTGCATAGATTTGATTTTCAAAATACTGAAAACCCTCCAGTCTAGCCACACAGTTTCTGAGCCACCCAATTGATGGCGCCAGTGTTTTCTCATCGTGAGGGGTTGAGACACTCTGTCATGCTAAAAGGCAAATATGCGAGCTAGCTGCGAGAGATCTTGCAGATGCTGAAGAATAGAGGTGTGTACACAAGAAGTATGCTATGGGTGTATACATAGCTTGGTAGAAAATAATTTTCTACTGTTTCGTGTAAAGCTGTGTACTGGAAAACCCTTAATGTTCGTGAGCCCTTAATTTTCGCGAATTTGGCAATTAAGAAATTTGCAAAGTTTAAGGGCACCCGAAAATTTCGATCCTTGAGAGTTTCAATGCAGGTGTCTGGATATCGCAAAATCTAGTGGCCGCAATTATGTCCTCTGTGACCAATTCGCGAAAAATAGAGGCTGTGAAAATAGTGCAACCCTTGAATGACTAATGTGCTTGTTTCTCAAGTTGTGTTGTTCCCTCCAACAGTCGATTTTCGACAGGCTGTTGGCTTTATTTCTTCATTAACCTCAAAATTCTCAAACTTGCTATATTTAAAAAAAAAAGAAGAAAACGCAGAAAAAAAAAGGTATTATATTAACTCTGATTATGAGACTGATTCTGCCCTCCCAGCAGTCTTTCTCACTACAGAAGAGAACAGTTTATGAGCTTCAAATTGAACGGGAAATCTTAAACTTGGACGAGTTTCAGATACAGTCACGTCTCCCTTGTATGGACACTGGTAATATGGGTACCAGCAAAAGCTTTAGGTGCATATTAGGTAAATGCACACATTCTTATCTCTTCGTTATGGACAACTTGCATTATGGGCGATTTTTGGGGATAACGGAGATGTCCGTATTAAGGAGACACGAATGTAGTAGTTGTAAGCTTGGGCTGATGGTGCATGATTGAGTTTCTCTTGGCATTTATGGCTTGGCCTATTGCAGAGAGGTGTTCTTCAACAACGACACTCAAGACCTGTTCAAGCAAGGGGAGATCATGAAGCGCCCAGTCCTGGCCCTCACACTCGAGCAGATCGCCCAAAACGGAGCGGACGAGTTCTACAATGGGGCCACTGGCAAGAAGTTTGTTCAGGACCTGGCCAATATGGGTAAATTAAACCCTTTGCGAGTTGGGTTTCATGGATTGAACATGTCACGTGAGATAGGGCCTTTACTCAATAGTCACCAAAGGTCCTGTGCTGCAGTGGATGTCAGAATTCTAAAAGGACCGCATGGAATGCAGTTTTGCTGTAAATAACCTTAAGAAAAAAAAAGTTTGTACTGGGTTTTTTATTTTGGCATTTTACTTAGAATTTGATTAATTAGAGCAACAGCGCAGGTATTCTTTGCCCCTTTCTATCGAGTAAAAACGACTTCTACGAGGTGTTTCTCTACACATGAGCCAAATTGTTCAGCCCGCTTGGGGAAGTGAATGATGTGTTGGAACTTTCGCGAGGACGGCATCGGCTTATTTCTGCAGAGAGGATATGCGCCAGGAGCAAGCTTGCCTAGGCAGAGACGATTTACGATCGCGCGCGGGGGGGCGAGATGTAAACTTCGTACCCGCAGCGGCCGGATGCAGCCGCGAAGATCAACAGCTGGGAAAGTGGAGACGGACAGAACGAAAGCTGGAACGATATGGATCGGAGAACGAGAAAGTGGCTCGTCTGTTTGGAACGTGTGTGGTGTGTGTAGTTTAAAATAAAAGTGTTGAGATTTGTTGAGACTGATCGATATCTCGGAACGCCAAGAAGCAACAATTCCCTCAACATGATGTTCAGTATAATAACCTTTCGAATAATTAACTTTTTAATTAATGAATTGATAAAGGTGTTTTCAATTAGAAACTTAATGAGGACAATCGAAAACTACTGAATGAACTCGTTTTAGGTACATATAAGGCACATACAGCATTTTGTGGCGTTCCGAAAAAACGCTAAATTTGGACGCATTCCCAGGTTTCGGTTTCCTATCGGAGGGCATTTTTTGCCGGAAGTACTGCCCCCTTATGGCCGAGGCATGCAACACACATATGCCGCATATCACGAAGGAGGCCCCCGCGGGGGACACCTGCGTTAGTAGGTGTTCAGTGAGTGATCTCGCCACTGACTCCGAGCCATGTGGGTTCGCCTGTCCACGTCTGGCTGTGCTTGGCTTTCCCGTGTCTGAAAAAAAGGTCATCCTGGCGGTTGAGCCGAGCCCGGCCATGATTAGACCATTCGGTAGCCCCTGGGTGAGGCAACACACCACTTCGGCCTCTGGTTCTCATAGACAGGAGTCGTAGTAAGACCCGGCCAGGACGATTCACTCGGGCCTTTTTTTCACATCGCCTCTTTGTATTTTCTCTCCTTCTCCTCTTCTTTCTACTTTCACTTTCTTTGGCGGCAAGGGCTAACCTTGTGTGGCGATGGGCCACTGTCTTGACCCACACTTGGGTATAGTTTCCCAGCAGCACTGTTAGAGTAATGTCTCCAGCAAAGATCTTTTTGTTATGGTGCATTACCAAACCCCTTGTTGGGCTTGGTGGTGGGCGGTGCACCAGATTCTCGGCATCTTTTGCCCTCCTATGGTGCCCCACCCCTCTAAACCCCTTACAAAGCAAGCCTTGAAAAGGCACTGTCTTTTCATCATTCTTGTCCAGCTCGCTTGCACCTTTGCATTCAATTGCATTATAATCAATACTGCATGTCATTAATTTTTCCAAATGGACCCTTTAGCAGAGGCCAATAGGATATTAAAGGGATTGTCTGGTGATATTCGGAAGAAGTTTTTGCACTGGTCACGTAGAGAGGGCCTAATTATAGTCATATGAGATATTTATTTCATTAAAAGATGCCGCAATATTCGTGAAATCAATTATGAACATCACTATGAAACTTCACGCCAAATTTCGCAAGTATGCATGGCTGGTCGTGAAGCGACGTCGCGTCGAGCATGGTGACATGAGAGTCCCGGGTGTTGACTTATTCCCGGGTTTGATCAACATGGTGGATGGTGCGTACAAAGATCATTGGCGAAGAATTAGGCTTCCCTCGATACTGTCAATCTGGTCTTTCTTAGAACAAAGTATTTTACTGAGACAGCAGTCAAGAGCTGAGGTGGCTTTCTTTGCCTGATGTTACGTCAGAGCTTCTGCTGTTGGCAACGGAAACCCTGTGTTTTGCAGGTGCAATCTGAGCAGCTGGGCTCTGTTTAAAATTGAATTACTTGTGTGGCGGAGGATTAAATTTTGGATATTGTGCGGATGATGTTGCTAAAAGCAATGGCAATATACCGTATATTGCTGCATATAAGTCGACCCCCCCCCCCCCGATTCCCAACCCTCACAAATAAAAAGAAAACTTTTTTTGACGGAAAGGTAAATTTTTGAAAATGAGCATTTATTTGAACTTAGCACAGAAAGGTCTAGGGCCTTGTCGTATTTGCCCTCGTCGTGGTCGTCGTCGCTTGACACAACGATGCAGTCGCTGCTGTCAGCATATTGTGGGTCACAGGCCAGTTGGGGGAAGCGGCGTCAAGTACACTTTGAAAAGGTCTCACAAACCATGTCCGTTGGGAGTCCATATCAAGCGTCATTGACCCACTAGGCCCCAGTGCTCAAAGATGCGCGCTTCACACGCCCTGTCGCTGTCTTGGGGTTGTCATCCGAACTCATCCACTCATTATAGAAGACACCCACGCGGTCCTTGAACCGCTTGTTGAGCACCACGTCAAGGGGCTGGAGAATTAATGTCATACCGCCCGGAATGATGACGAGGTCGAAACCCTGTGTTCCCTTCCGCCTTCTTCAACATAACATGGCAGTGAAGTGGTTATGCTCATTGCCTGTCATCAGCAGACGAACCTGACAAACCCGTTCTCTGTGACCGTTCTCCTGCTGGGCGTGTCGAACCAGACCAGCGTTTGGTTGGCGTTGCTGATCTGTCCGAGCATGAACTCCTTTGTCCTCAAGTTGGCGACTTAACGATAATAGCTATGCAGCTTCTCCTCGTACGCATCGGGCTGCCGCTGAAAAACGGTGGTTCCCCTTCTTATGCTCAAGTCATGGTCAAGGTATCGAAGAAGTGGGTGGCACTTCACGAAATTCGCCACCCACTTCTTCGATACCTTGAAGTCGCTTTGGTCGATATCCATTTCATTGGCGACGGTGTGTGCCTTGCCTTTGATGGCCTCGTATGACACACTGAGGCAGGAAACTGTCCTTACTTCGGACCGCGGAAGGATTGACGGGTACCAGAGCATGCAAATATCTTGTCACGCTGTTGCTTTCATCCTCGTACGCACTACTTCGAAATGCCGAAGCTGCGTTCAGCTGTGGCATTATTCTTTTCTTTGACATACGGGATAACCTTTTGCTTGAAGGACGCGCTTTACTGATCCGTAATTTTGGAGGCATTGTTGGTGTTTGCCGAGGAAGTCACGATAGCTGAGTACCAAATCGCAACGGGGCTCCAGCATGTGTGCGTCCGACGATTCAGTGAGTCAGCTGCAATGCGAATGATGCAAATTTGAAACAATCCCTTCATGTGCGGAAAAAAGGGAAATGTCCCTAAGAGCAGGTGAAACGTCCCTAATATCGCTCCTTCGGCTCAAAATTTGCGCAAACCTGCGTATAGGTTGACCCCACTAATTTTAAATACATTTTAAAAAAAAAGTGGACTTTTACGCAGCAGTATACGGTAATTTATAATTGTTAGTTAAAATTTTACCGGACAATCCCTTTAACCTTTTGTTTTTTTTGTGCAATGCATACTTTTCACTGGAACAATTTGGCTCACATTTTGAGAAACACCATGTTATTGGGATAATTTAAATGGGCACTGTTAGTTTCAATATTATGGGTTTAGATCATTCGAACGATTGGTTATTAAATTTTGATTCATTTTCTTATCAGTATTTACTACTTCAGTTATTGCCATCGGATAATAGCAGGAATACGAGGCTCGGTCTATTTGAGAGCTCTTTTCCCTCTTAAATGCTGCCATACACACTTTTTGTACAAGCACTTTTGTAACCTCGCATCCTTCAGAAGTTCAACCGTTTGCCATGGGTTCTTTTTTTTTTCCTTGACTCTCACACTTCACCAGGTGTTGTAACAATGTTTTGATTTCTAGCGACGACAGTCTTGACATTTTTCGAGATCATTTGCAAACTTTTTGGCTTGGGGACACATCAAAAACCAAATTGTGAACTGTTACTATCCAGTTTTGCTGTTGAATGTTGAAGTTAGTTTGTGTGTTTGGGCCTGTGTTGTGCCTCTGATGTGCCTGAAGTAACTGCCTGTGGTGACTGTGCCCATCATGCCCTTGATAACTGTCCATGATGCCTGTGATCACTGTGCCCGTAGCGACTTTGGCCATGATGCCCTCCTTTCTTTTGTGTCGCAGGTGGCATCATGACTGAAGATGACCTCCATTCCTACAAGGTCCATGAAAAGCCAGCCTCCAGGTCAACCTTGTTGGGAGACCACGTGCTGTACAGTGTGCCACCACCCGGCAGCGGGCCCGTGCTTTCCCTGATCCTCGGAATCATGGACGGCTACGGCTACAGCGCTCTTAACAACAGCCAGGGGATCGACGAGGCGGCTCTCATGTACCACCGCTTTGTGGAAGCTTTGAAGTTTGCGTATGCCAAGCGGACCTACCTTGGAGACGAGGAGTTTGTGAACGTCACAGAGGTGGGTTTGGAAGTTTGAAAGCAGACTAAAGAGGCGCTAAAGTGGTTACAGGTTCTCATTTAGTGCCGCATGCTCAATCTATGCAACCCCTAAGCATCCTAGGAAACGCATAAGCACAACCATGCGTGGCTTTTTTCTCCATTATAAATGCTACCAGTTATCACTAGGCACCCCTTTTTCCACGACATGTCTTGGGAAAGGGGCATGATGCAGTGTTCGGTCACATTTTTACTATAGAAAAGGTCTAAGGAATGTTCTAATTTAATATATTTTTAGAATGCTCAAAATGCTTGGATTCAGTTATCGCCATAAAAAATGAACTCAGTAAAATATTCTCTTATTTTAGTCATTGAAATTTTGCACTGACCTAGGGAAAAAAACCTGGCAGAAAGGTACAATGTAAGGGAGCTCCCAGATGCCATGAAAATTTACAATGCGGAATTACAGAACCTTAGCACAGCCAAGGATGATTTCAGGAAGATATATTGATTGTAGTCAGTGATGGTGATGCTCAAGGAAAAGAAAGTACAAAAGGCAAAATATTTCTGTAAGGAGAAGATTCTGAGCATAGTAGCTTGGCAAAAGTGTCAATACATGGTGCCTTCATCAAGCGTTGCAGCTAGGATCTGCCCATTGGTCGTGGCAAGTATGAATAAATAAAAACAAAAAGGGGCAACAAGCGTAAGTCAGCCTTCCTTGGCACTAATAGATAGTGAGGTCCTGATCCCTTGTTATCATCTCTAGGCATCGTCCTGGAAGTATTCCTTGAGGTTGTACTAGAAGTCGTCCTTGTGGTTGTCCAAGAGGTTGTCCTCTAGGCGGCGTCCTAGGAGTCGTCCTAGGAGTCGTCGTAGGAGTCGTCGTAGGAGTCGTCGTAGGAGTCGTCGTAGGAGTCGTCGTAGGAGTCGTCGTAGGAGTCGTCGTAGGAGTCGTCGTAGGAGTCGTCGTAGGAGTCGTCCTAGGAGTCGTCCTAGAAGTCGTCCTAGAGGTCGTCCTAGAGGTCGTCCTAAAGGTCGGCGTAGAAGTCGACCTTGGGGTCGTCGTAAAAGTCGACCTTGAGGCCGTCCTACAAGTCATCCAGAGGTCGTCCTTTAGGTCGTCCTAAAAGTTGTCCTTGAGGTGATCCTAGACGTCGTTTTCTAGGCGTCGTCCTCGAGGTTGTCCTTGAAATCCTCCTAGAAGTCGTCCTTGAGGCGGTCCTAGAAGTCGTCCTCGAGGTCATCCTAGACTAGACGCGGCTCTCCACAGCCAAAAAGTAAAGATTAAAATAAAAATAACAGCTCTGCTGATGCCCATGGAAGGGCTCTATTCATTTGCACATATGGTTGGTTCTCCATTAAATTATGATACAAGTTTTCTTGCTTATCCAACAATGCCGCCACAGTGGCTTGGAGACAAAGCGGTGGCTTACGGATACCCGCTTGGCGTGTTCGGACCTTGGTTGAGTTGCCTGCAAATTGGCAGAAGCCTGTTGTGGAGAAAGTGCCATGTAGACAAAATTTCTGTTGTGCATCTTGATCCCTTGGTGATTTCCTCAGTCTTTTGCTGAGGCATGCCAGGTGCCCATTGGTTTGTTAACTAAAACTCTAAAATTTCTGAACTTCTGAACTGAATGGTTTGAATTGGAAATTAGCTAGCTCAATGAATTCTATTTCGTTTTTGACACTAATAATGGTATTATTATTCATTCAGACTGTCTGGTAAATAACCATTGTTTGCATAGTTTGAACATTACAACTCTGTTTTGCCAGGCAAAAGCATGTGGAATTTCCCATTGAACAAAATGCTTAAGAAAATTTGCTCAGTTTCCGTTTTAGACCAAATCATTCTTCGAAGGAAGTGAACACAAGGGGCATGGATGGGCACCTCACTGCATTAGCAGATTCTAGGACTTTTGCTGCAGACTTGCTTTGCCACACACATTCGATATCCCCTTAATGTGTACATAAACTTCATGTGGACTGTGTGAACTGCACACAGATGATGCCACACGGGCTTCGACATCCACTTATGTGAACTGCATGTGAATGTAATTCTGGACTAACGTGTCTGCCTCTGCCTATTGTTAAAGGGGCACTGAGAGAAAACTGCCAGCTATTTCATTCAAATTACTGCTGTTATATACTAACAGCTATTAGTGCCTTGTGCATTTTCAATCTAGTGAAGCAGAACTTTCGAGAAATTTACTGATGTTAGCTGCTACACTGATGTTTGGCTTGATAGGAATAGATGTCCTTTCTGGTATAACCTGCACTAAGGAACCAAATCTTTAATTTTCCCTCTTTTCAGATTGCCTCTCAGATGTTGACGAAAGATTATGCTGACTCCTTGCGAGCGAAGATCTCTGATGTGATGACGCACGAGCCCGAGTTTTATGAACCAGTGTCCTTGACAGTAGACAACAAGGGAACTGCCCAAGTGTCTGTTCTAGCACCCAACGGTGATGCGGTCTCTGCTACCAGCACAGTGAATGGCTAGTGAGTACTGGCTTATATATTTATTAAAAATTGCCCTCAGGGCCCCGAGGGGCATTAGAGGGGAGTGGTTGGTAACTACAATTCTAAATTTAGTGTTATCAGTAATGGTGATGATGTCATCGGGAAGGCCATTCCAGTCCAGAATAACTTCTGGTGGGAGGTAATGTTGATGGGCTGTTGAGATGTTCTTGGGGCAGACAATTTTGCATGAATGATCAAGTCTTGCAGAGATATAGCTGGGCTGGCAAAGGAGAGGCCGTCGTAATGGTTTTAAACAGTAAATTTTATCGAGGCAAAGACTGGAAATTCTGCGATAAAGGGAAAGATCAGGAAGAGTTAATTGAGATTTCATTGCAGTGACACTAGAAAAGCGAGTAATTAGAAAGAATGAATCAAGCAGCACGATTTGGAACAGATTTAATTGCGTTAGTTAGAAAAGACTGATAACCATTTAGAACAAACCCACATACAGCGAATTATCGTCGATATCGGACTCACGAAAAATTTAAATAAAAATGCATGTAAGAAATAGTTATTATAACGAGCAACATATTGGCTATATCAAACTATTTCCCCTCGGGAAGGCTTCCAAAAACGCGCAAACAATTGTCTTCTAGCCTTTCCCCATCCCCCCCCCCCCAAAAAAAAAAAGAAAAATAGGAAAGAAAGAAAATTGCAAAAGATCAAGCTGCAAACAAAATTGAGCGAAGAGAAGCGATTCAGAAAGGGGAGAAAGCTAAAAAATACACTCTGCATGCATGCACAGAAAAAATAAGTTTCATCCCAAAACCGTTGCCCATGAAGAGAAGCAAATCAGAAGGGAAGATAAGCTAAAAAAACAAACTCTGCACGCATGCAAAAAAAAAAAAAAAAAAAAAGCTTTCTAGCGTGTTGTTACAAGGTGGGAGCAAAGAGATGAGAAAGAAAGAGAAGCTCTCACCTTACAACGAACGTATCGTGGATGTTCGTTTTAAATGGTTTTTGCTATATCGAACAGATCGTAGCGTTTCCTGCTGTTCGTTATAAACTGGTTTGACTGTACGAGTGCCAGATAGCTGAAGCATAATCTAGTTCTGGGCAAAGAAGCGTGACATAAAGGAGACGTTTGAGGTTAGAAGGGGCAGACTTGAAATTGCTACGAATATAGCCAAGTTAGCGGTTTGCTGATGATATTGCATTGTCGACATGAACATGCCAGGACATATTAGTGGTTAAATGAGTACAAATATACTGTACTGTGTAGCAATTTGGATGGAACTGTCTTTGAGTGTTAATGAGTTTAAGGGCTGGGGGAAGAATGTGTGAAGCAGAGGTGCAGCATGCATTTGTTAATGTTTAGACACATCTGCCAATTGCGTGCTTGGAAGAAAAGCACACATTCAAAGCGGGATGGTGCACGCGTGCCAGCTGTATTTGAGAATACTGTAAACCCCTTTATTTTCGCGGCCCCTATTTTTCGCGAATCGGTCACAGATGACATAATCGCGACCACTAAATTTCGCGAATTCTTCAATTCGTGAAATTCGCGAAAATTGAGGGCTCGCGAAAATTGAGGGTTTTACAGTAAATGGAAACTTTGCGAATGTGTATATCTCGATTGTAGTAAAAAGTTCCAAAATTAAACTGACTGATATGCAAGAGTATACTATGTTAGGCAGAGATACCCTTACAACCTGCATTCAATATGCACAGTTATTTCTTTTTTTAACTTGAGATTAAACAAGGAATATTTTATATAGCAAGATTTGTAAATTCACTCAATTGCATATGGTTGGGCATCTCTATAGGGTTCATTTTATGTCAAATCTGTCGTTTACTTGCCATCCCAAGACATCAGACCTTACGAAGACACAGTTAAAAAATATAGATAAACTTTGCTTATAAATGAACAAGCGGAACAACCTTCACAAGTTTAGCTGGATTTTCGTCTCAGCAGTATGCAATGGTAGCGAAAGTCGTGAAAAAACTATTCGATATTCAGATCGAAAATATTCGACCAAAACCAGTATTCGCTTCGAATTCACTTCGAACTCAAAATCTACTATTCGTACAAGACACCCTTGTGGTCATTCACTTTTAAGTCGTGGTACCAGTCATCAACAGTATGCTGAGGCACATTTAAAAGTCCTTCAGCCACCTGCTTGAGAGTATTTGCACATGTTTCTTTAAAGTATTGGAAACTGTGGCTCTTTGTTTGTCTAATGTGATTGAAAGTCTAATTGTCATTGAAAGTGTAATTTGTTAGTTTTTTTTATATTTATAAAATACCTAGCCACAGCTTAAAAGCCTCTACTAAGAACCGTACCTTACCAAACAAAATGTGGCATTTTGAGTTCCTGGATTGATGGTAATTTCTCAATTAATTTTTTTTCAAAACATTCGTATCGTAAATTGAACGAGTACTATATTAAAAATGGGCTCGAATAACATTCGCTTTTAATTTTCTTTTTTGCCGCTGGTTTTGACAGTTCCCTCCGAAACAATCCCCACTCGCTCTGTTGGCTGCAGCTTTGCATACATTGCAAATCCATCACAAAAGAGCCGCGCCTCACACCCGGTGTGCCTTCTTCTTTTTCCCAGCTTCGGGGCCATGCTGCGATCTCCCTCGACGGGCATCATCATGAACAATGGCATGGACGACTTCTCGGTGGAGAACTCTAGCAACTCGTTTGGCCTCCAGTGGTCTCCCGCCAACCTGATAGCGCCTCACAAGCGGCCGCTGTCTTCTATGTGCCCCACCATCATCACAGATGCCAAGGGCAACGTGCACACCGTGTTCGGCGGAGCAGGGGGCTCCAGGATAACGAGCGGCAGCGCATTGGTGAGTTCGAGGCCGGTTTGTCGGTCAGGGGGTGTGTGTCTTCCAGCAGGTTACGTGGCTGCAAAGGGGATTCTGGAGGTTGGATAGCCTCGACAGGGAATCCAAACTTTTCCAGCTCCTCTCGTGCACTTAAGAGTCTGGGGTAGAGGCAGAGAATGCCAGCTCCAGGTCCCGTTTGCTGATCGGTGTGGTTACCTCTCCCAATGGTTTATGCAATTGGCTCCGTGGAAAAATGGTGCCTAAGGTTCCAGTCAAATTCATAGGTTTTGCCTGTCGTTTCTTTTTTTAGTTCTTGTTTAACCCTGCCTTCCCCAGAAATAACTTGACTTGCCTTTCCTAGAATGGAGAAATGTAGTTCATTTCACTCTCATTTCAAGTCTCTTTGCCTCTTTTTCCTTGTGCATGGAATCAGATCTTGCTAATCGAAGCAAGGACATAATTGCGATGACCATTCGGCTGGAACGCTAGGTACCCTTCATTTTTTTACCCACGTGGCCGGCCACGGGGTCGTATAATTTCTCTCGCGGTTATTTTATCGGCTGGTTGAGGTACCCGCAGGGGCCGCCTCGGGGTTTTGAAATATTTTTTGGTCTCCCGTAAACCCTATCTGCCTTGGCTGATAGCTGAGGAACCCCTCCTGGTTTCGACATTGATGCAATAAAGCAGTGCAGAAGCGTAAAGACCCTGTAAACAATAATGCACATAAACTAGGGGATGTTTGGCTCGTAGTTATGCATCAAGGGGTTGCCCAGCTCTGATAAAATATTGCTTATGATAATTAAAGACACTGGGACAGTCGAGGAAATTTGGGAACTCAGGAATGCATGACGGTATCCTGGGAAACTCGTGTGTTCCTTGAAACCCAGTTTGAAAACCTGGGGGTTTGTCTAAACTTCTGCAGCCTCCTTTACATTTTTACAAGTTTGTGGTAAAAGGCTGAGAATGTAGTCTCCTGGAATTACAACGCACTTATTGCTTTCAAGTATCCAAAGAGTAGGAGCTGCCATGCCCATGTGCTGCTGCTTGCAGCATTTTCTGCACACCCCACGTAGTAGGGAAATAAAGGGAAGTATAGGGAAGAAAATAAAGCATTGTCAGTAAAGCAATGTATTGTATTTACTCTAATTTAACGCGCCCTCGATTGTAACGCGCTGCCATTTTTCGAGATCCGAAAAAAACAAACATGCGATGACCTCGATTCTTACGCTCACCAGATTTTGTAGCTTGGATACAGAAATTAAACTTTTTCTCACTTGGAACAATGAAGGTTTATTCCAAATGCTTCAATCTTGCGATGAAATGAACGGCGTTGTCTCTCGCCGGCAAGGTCGTCATCACGACGACGGTCTGGTGCAGCGCCCATGGTATGCATCACTCGTAATCATTGTCGGATGACTCCTCATCGCTGTCAACGGCCCAAATCATTTCATCTTTGATGCCGTCCATAGCATTAGAAATTCCACACTTCTTGAAAGCCTTGATAACCATGGCAGACGGGATCGTGCACCACGCACCTTTCGCCCATCCGGGGAAGTCCTGGGGTGCTATGTTGCGCTTTTTGCACTCCCAGGAGACTTGGAAGAAGGAAGTGACGTCAACGACTAGAGCAAACGCAGATTGGATGTTGACAGAAGGAAAGAAAATCAACATCCAATCTGCATTTGGTGCGTTGTTGACGTCACTTCCTTCTCCCTAGTCTCCTGGGAGTGCAAAAAGCACAACATAGCCCCCCTGTAGCGATGCAAGTTTCTGGAACACTAATCGCACGTGATATCCATCACTCTCCGCGCACAATATTACTTTTCTTTTGAATTCAGCATCATGGTGAACACGGCGTGTCTTTGCAGTGGGAACTTCCACGCTGATACGAACGCAAGAAGCACACGAGCTGGCTACGCTCTAAGCCTCTCAGCTTCTCAGCGCGCAATAGAGCGGCAATTTTGAAATGTCGATGGCAATATGGTAGCGCAGTTTTGGGTCTCGCTCAATTGTAGTGCGCATGTGACTTTTAAACCTATTTCTCCGGAAAAAAGGTGCGCGTTAGATTCGAGTAAATACGGTACAGTGCCCCTCAAACTTAATGCCGCCACTCGGTTACGCAATTATTGATCTATTGCAGTGGTTCTCAGTCATTGATGTTTCGCGGACCCCTTGTGGATCGGCGGGGATGGTGGAAGACCTCGTTCGGGGTGGGAGGAAGGGAAAGATATTGGTTTATTATGATAATGATTTAATTAATGAATATAACTAGACTAGTGAGAAGTAGACTTCTCTCATTGAGATGCACACGAGAAAACTCACCCGAAAATTTGAATGTTTCTTGTCAATTTGAAAAGAAAAGCCAACTTTTATTGCTAGGCTTGGCTGAGGAGGCTGGGCCTTGCGGACCCCCTAACATTCCCTTGTAGACCCCAAAGGGTTCGTTCGTGGACCCTCGTTTGAGAACCTCTGATCTATTGCATGCTACCCAAACATAAATTGGTCGCTGCAGCTGCTGGAATACCTTCCCCTGGTTAGGTTTTCATTGAGGACGCGAGTCTTCACCAACTAGTTTGACCGCTAGATCCAAGAATAGCTCAAAAAGTGAAGAAACCGGACCATCTCGTGGCGGCGTTAAGTTTGGAGCGCACCATACCTCCAGTCTGAAAAGCTGTGCATCTATTACAAGCCATACGAGGTCACCCACATTTTGGAAGTTCGGACTTTGTTTAAATCTGAGGAGTTAAAAAATTTTAACCAAAGATTTTTAAAAGTACCAGACAACTGATTGGCATATATACAATTCCAGAAATCAATATCTTTTCCATAACTTGCATGTTTTTTGGCATGATTTAATCCTTTGAGGAAAATAAACAAAAAACACAACAGAGTTGTGGTGTCTGTTAGTCACCACCTTTTCTCTGTGCTATGAATTGATAATTTCACTGTATACAAATGCACAGGAGTTGCTATACTTCGTTTCACCCTAGGATGGACTAAAGCAAAAAGCTACAGACTGCCAGATCCAATCACGAGCCACTTACAAATTGCGTGGTATTGCGCTTTGATGCATTTACCAGTGTCCGCGTCTCGGATCACCGATGGGGATGGGCAGAAAGTGGTTCAAATCGAATAGGAGTGAGTGACTCAACAATTTTACATTGCAATAAAGCCGCGATGTACAGGCTGTTTGCAGTGTTGAAGCTATAGAAATGATACAGCGTTTCTTGGGTTCGGTGCATTATTTGTCCACCCCTAATGAAAGGTAGGCATGTTATAGTTCAGCCTTTAGCGTATAACGTGATTGGTCCTGGCGGCCAGTGGCTTTGGCCTTTAGTCCATCGTAGGATGAGACAAAGTATAGTTCAGACATTCGTTCAATTTTAGCAGGTCTGGATATAAATATTTGGTTTGTTCATCATGGCCTGTTTTTCAAAATTTTTTACTCCAAATGTTTTAAAAAGAAGTGTTTTGCTCATACTTACCAGTTGCATCTATTCCACAGCCAGTTAGCATGTTGAAAATTGAAACCAATCGGGAGGAAGCAGTCAGCAACAAAAATAATTCTTTCATTTCATCAAATTTTGTCCAAAAATACAGGGTGTTTTAATTTTATGTTATGCTTAAAGTGGTGCGGTTAATTTTCGTTTTCAAGAAAACAAATAAATCTTGTTTTAACTGTGTTTAGGAATGCCCTCCACTCAATATCCAAATTTTTCATCCTCCTCCACGCGAGAAATTGTATTTTAAACTCTTCCCAAAACGCATCCTCAAAAAAACAGCATTTTTGTTGGCAACATTGGCAACCGCGGTAGCTCTGACGTAACATCAGATAAAGAGCTGCATTGGGGTGCCTCCCGACTGCTGTACTGTAACTTTTGCTTTTTTATTCGTTTATTCTTGTTTCTCTGTCAGACTAGATCTTTGTGGATGTAAGGGGCTTTTGTTGTGCGGTTGGTTGAAACAACTTTTGGACTGCAGACAAACGATGTCCTGCCGCCGTGTGAAATACAATTAAGCCGTTCGCATGCAATTGTGGCCGCGATCTGTCAGGTTCCAGATTGTTTTCGGTTTCGCCGCATAAATATATTTTTAAAATACGACTGTTCCTCTAGCATCAATTTTTCATGATCTCGCAAGACATTGATATATAGTCTAAGCGTCTAAATTCATGTTAGAGCTCACCTTTAATGCTATTTGTATGCAAAATTGTTTCGGTTTCGGTTGCGCCGGATAGACCTTTTTGTTTGTGTAATTGCTGCTTCACGCTCAATTCCTCATGATCTCGCAAGACATTGCCTTCAAATGTCTACGTTGACGGTAGAGCATCTTTCTTATTCCTCTGTCTCCCACAGTAATGACTCTAATCGATGTGATAGATTTTGTGGACTCCAGCTTTGTCTTCAACACTAAGTTATATGGCGTGCAAGTATGCCTGCTAGTAAGCAAGCGGCGAAGGAAATCTTTTTCGCGCATCTCGTGCGTTTATTTACCCGCCAATGCGCTCGAAGGATCATGGCCCCTGCCTGTCTGACCCCCTGCCTGTCTGACATGGTTTTCTGCAATTTATATTGTCCATTGATTGGTGTGTTCCTTCTTTATATTTACTACTTTTGTCAAGTTTCAACAATTCTGTTTTTGATGCAACTCATTGGGGCTGGAACATTTCAGATTTGAACTATAAAACATTTTATGATCACCATCCTGTCTAACTTTATAACTAAAAATTGAAGTCCTCCAATCACATAAATATGTACAGACAAAGTTTATTTCAGAACTGGCTCATGGAACGATTAAGCAATTAACAAGTTTCAAAGAAAACTATTTTTCATGTTCCAGAGGACAGTAAGCGAAGTACTCTCTAGGTAAAAAAGGGTAAAAATGCCTGTATGGGATCGAGCTCACATGGTTGGCTTTCCTCACTTTGCGTAAGGCTTTTCACGTGAAAAGCACGAGACATCTGGGGTTGAAGCTTTTGTACCATATTTTTGCACTTCTATAGTTTTTTCTTTATTCCAGATTTTGTTCCGGACCCTGTATCTTATGCAGTCCATCAAGGAAGCCATTGACAGCCAACGGATTCACCACCAGCTTTATCCCAACCAAGTCCTTTACGAAAAGGGATTTCCTCAGGTACCACTGTCAGCTCATAATAATTTGTATTCCTGCAGCACTATTAATATGTTAGTTTACATGGTAATGGAGTTATGTGCAGAATGTGGAATTGTAAGCGGTACTTTTGCATTTCTTTTTTAGATTTTTTTTTTTTTTCTATTTCTGCTCGTTCATGTTATTGAATTCCTTTTTAGTGAAAAATATGACAGTATTCACTCGGGCATTGCTAGCTGTCTGTACTATGTCTCGGCTGGATTTCAACAGTTGAAGCACCCCCAAATTCCAGCCTTTGCTATAATATACACATGCCCCAAGTCGTAGGCATCTTGGTCACCGCAGCCCCCACCCCCTGCCCCTTTGAAATATTTTCACTCATAATGTGTGGAGAAACAAAAGCGATAAGTGTAGCATGGTTGTGCGATGTGGGTGTAATGTTGCTGCCGCGTACCTGAGGACAGAGGTGCGGCATGGTTAATTCTTGTAGTGATCTTTGAAGGATGTGGGTAAGCGCAGTGGAAGTTTCTAAGACCATCCAACATTATGCATAGCAAATGAATACTGCCAAAGTGGGATTTTGCATAATGCGAAAATGTTTGAAAACTACTCTTTTGAGCAGACGACGGGAAGATTTTCCCCTTTGTTGCGTCATTCTTGGCGGGACGCCACGGCTGCCTTCCGCTTTCTTCAAGCGGCACGGCTAACAAGAAGACTCGACTTTTCTATCCTCGTGCCAAGAGGGAAGAGAAGGATTTTTCCGTAGCAACGACAGCCCACAAGCTCGAAAGCTTTGCAAAGTGTCTTTCGTAAAGCTATCGCTTTAAAAACTTCTCGCCTATATATATGTCACCGCTCGGAAGAATATCTCATATTTAAAAGGCTGATTAGAGTACCGTATTTTCAAATCTTTAGACCTTTCCCGTGCATGTCACTCGGGCAAAAACTGCATAGTCACTGGGCTGCAGAGGCATTTGCAGTGTCTCGTATTTTGCAGAAAAGAGCCACTGCACATGCTCAGAAAGCGTTCCATAGTCGAGTAGACAGAGATGGCAGTGCCCAGAAGGTGATTCTTGGAAAGGTCTACAGGTGACACCTTTGTACAAGCCGCACACCCCCTATAAATGCCAGTTTTCAGAAAAACAAAACTGTGTATAAGTCACCAACCGATTTTCCGAACTTTGCAGGGACCGAAAAGACATCCGACTAATGGAGCAGTCCAAAAATAGGCGGATTATAAAATACTTGACTTTATTACATCTAAGTGGGCTTAAAAAAGCCGTCAAGTGTCTTGCTTCTGGTTACACCTCCGCTTGCGTTCGACCACTTTATATTAGCTGGAGAATCGCTTCCTTCTTTTCTAGCATTTGTGTCGAGCACTTTCCGCGCTTCTTAGTGACACTTCGCGGCAGCAGACGAACAGATGGCGCCATGACGTCTAAGCCAGTGTAGTCCGAAAATATGGTACGACGAAATGAGAGGCGCAAGTCCACGACTAATGGCAAATGAACAAAGCAAAAGGGTAACGATGATGAAGATATGGACGTGCAGCTAGACAAAAAAAAAAGCCTTAGAATAGCATCACCTAGTGGTAATCGGGTAGCGCTGCCAAACCAAGCCAATTCATGTGCAGCCAACGTAGAATCTAAAATGGCAGCTTCTCGGTGATGTTTCTTGCCGATCGCTCGTGACAATCTTTTATGAAAAATTGAACTTCAAACTTCAAGCTGTCTCAAAACATTGGTCGTGAATATGCACTATTTCTATTGGGGAGGTCACGGTTCCTACTTTAGGTCCGAGATATCAAACAAGTCCGCGTTTGAAAAATCTGTCGGCGACTGTAAGTTGCACCTAGTACTATACATATATAGGTTGTCCCAGGTCTCCAGACTCGATCTAGAATGGACCATAAAAATTGACACCTGCACGTAGCAATTGAAATTTTCGTCAAAGGTGTATTTCTCAGGTCGGTTCTTTTACTTGTAAAATTACAAAGCGTAGCTCTTTTTTGCAAAAAAATAGGGCCAAGAAACTTGCCAGGCTCAATGGCAGGCAGCGACGCAGATGACTAAGTCGAGTTGCCGGGTGCGTTTGGCGCACAATTGATAGATCACGTCTGGAGCAGTGTCCAAAGATGCAGGCGACCAGCACAAGAAAGCAGACGACACGCAGACGATATCTATTGGCAGCAAAACTTCCGTCGTTGTGCGAACACATTTTTTTCCTTTAAGTTTTACTTTTAATATGCACATTTATTTTTTAACCAAAGGTACATTACCAAAATATTAGGTTCATTTGAATAAACTATGGTGGTCATGAGTAGTCTCATTAAAGGGCAACTCCGCTTCACTTTTGGTTTTGGAAAAACAATGCAGTCCTCTTCAGTATCGCCTAAGAAGACCACACGTCAAATATTACGACGCAGTTCTTTCTAAATGTTTCTTAAACGGTCCGGCAAACTTTGCAACACACCAAGTTGCCGAAATCGGCTGACTCGAGCGGGCGAATTCAGGCGCAACCAACAGCGCAGTCAAGGCTACGGCATGGGCGGAGCCAACATTGAGCTAAACGCCATCTACATGGCCCCCTTTTGCTTGTTTTTACTTCTCCGATCGAGCGTAGCGCGTGACGTCAGCAACGTTGCCTCTCGGCGCTCAGGCGGTGTCCACATGATTGACGTACGCGCCTGCGCAGCGCGCTTCTTGGGGAGCAGACCAACCGCCCGCCGTGGTCCTGCCGTTACCGCCGTCTTCCGCGTCACAACCACCGTCGTCGTCTCACCGTTTGTGATTATTGCCTCTCGGAGTTTCGTCCACACTATGGACGCCACATGCGCAGAGTCCCAGACTTATGCCGCAAATGTGCAGACGTCGTCGAACGCCGTAGACACCAAAACGTGGCGAAGAGTGCGGAGCAGACGACACTCGCGCCTGCCGCACGCCCGCCCGCCCCCATCCCGCCCGTCTTTGGGCCGAGGATCACGTGACCTCTCGTACCACGTGATGGCCATGTACTTGGCGGCCCGAGGCCAATGTTGCCGGACGGAGCCGAAGTTTCGGTTTCGATTTCCGCTCGTGTTTAAAATTAGATTTAAAAATATATATCCCATTTTTCGCGAAGCAAAAGACGTAGTGTCTTTTGCTAGGGCTTTTTAATTCGAAATCACTCATTATCCCGAAATCTTCGGAATTGAGCGGAGTTGCCCTTTAAGGAGGTAGCACCATCTATCAATACAAGCGCCAAACCCGCCTTGCTAGTCGACTTGGTTGTCTGCGTCGCCGCCTGCCGTTGGCTCTGGCAGGTTTCTTGGCCCTATTTTTTACAGAGAGCTACGCTTTTAATTTTTACAAGAAAAAATCGACGTGTGAAATACACCTTTGGCGAAAAGTTTAGATTGCTATGTGCAGGTGTCTATTTTTACGGTCCATTTTAGATTGAGCCTGGTGACTTGGGACACACTATATATTTACGGTCGGTGTAGCAAGACTGCATTGAAAAGCCTGCATATATGTACCATTATTGCAATATATGTGCAAGCGAAAGAAAATTTAAATATTCTCGTCGACAAATCGAACGAGAAATTAATTTGGCAAATTTGCAGTTGTGGTCTATACTTATAGAAACAAACTACATAAAAATGACACCGTCGTATGCAATGCACCAGCTGAAATTTCGTAAACCGGTCACGACTTATATACCGGCGGCAGTATATGCCAAAGAAGAGAACCTCTAAACAAAAGCTCTCCCTTTACAACTGTCTGACAAAGAAAATGTCTTGAGAAATGTCTTCTTCCAATGTTTTCCCCTAGGCAATCCTGGACAAACTGGAAGCCCTTGGTCACACCATTGTGCGAGAGACGCACGACACCGCCTTCCAGGGAATCCAAAGGTTGTCAAACGGAACAGTTACTGCCAACATGGACTACCGGAAGGGGGGCAGCGTGGCCGGCATCTGAGCCCACTGTGGAAACGCGGCAATGGTCGGACTAAGCGGGGCTCACCACCTTCCTGCCAGTGAGGTCGTCGTAGGTTGTATGGGAACAAATCAAAATTAGCGTCCATAGCCCCCATTCCATTTTTTTATTCAGCCCCCGCACTATTTTGCGGTCGGTGTCGAGGCAGTCTGTTTTTACTTGTATTTAAATATGTGAAATATACGAGAGATTAAATTATTTTTTCTGTAACCTTTGTCCACTTTCTTTCCACATACGATCGTGTTAAAGGGCTCCTTAAAAGAAAAAAGAAAACATTCTTTTTAAACAAACTAGTTAAAACACGCGTGTCAAAAAAAAAAATTGTACGTGAAAAAAAGTAATTTTTCTGCCACTATTCAGAATGCCTTCACAGACAGTGCGAACAGCCTGACCTTAACCAGAGAGGACCCTTTCGCGGTGGGTCTCTAGTTCCTCGATGTATGCCTTGTAGCCAACCGGGAGGAATTTGCTGGTGCTTCCAGCAGCTTTCGCAGAAGGCGATGCTGCCATTTTCAAGCCATCACTCGGACTGTAAAAGCGGGCATCGCAAATTGTTTAATTTTATCTACCCGCATAAAGTCCTGCCATCACCTCTCCCCATCTAGCCTGGAGGGACAGCTCAGCCGCCTCACAAACGCCAGATACCCGCGCGACCTGCTGGCCTCCACTCTCGGAAAACTGATCATCGAAAAAGCTGTCGCGCGGAAGCCTGCCCGGCAAAGATGCACGACCATATTTTCTTTCCACAACATCGCCCACCGACTAAAAGCAGTGGCTCGACACTTCAACACAAACGTTGCGTTCTCGTACCCCTTCAAGTTGGGCACAGTGTGCTGTCTGGTAAACTCCCCTTCCTTCCAAGATCAGCTGTGCTAAGGGCACGCGGCCCCCTTTGTTCCCTGCGCGGTCAGACGGGTGTATTCCGTGCCCTTCTCGTGCAGTGCAGAGTACATCCGGCAGACGGGTCGCTGCCTCAACAACCACCGGCGCAAACACGAAAGGAAAGTAACGGAAAGCGACGAGGACTCCCAACACCCCAGTTAAAAATGTCCATTGGGTCCAATTGGTTTCTGACAATTGGAACCAATGGGGAAAACTGTTTGTGATTTCGGACTCCTCATTGAAAAAATCCCAATTGGTTCCAATTGTCGAAACCCAATTGTGCATTGCCAATTGGAACCAATTGGGCACGACCAATTGGGAAAACCGTTTGTGATTTCGGACTCCTCATTGAAAAAATCCCAGTTGGTTCCAATTGTTGATACCCAATTGAGTATAGCCAATTGGAACCAATTGGGGAAACCGTTTGTGATAACTGAACAATGAAACTGTAGTAGATGATGTTTGCCATTTTTATTGTAATTAAGAGATTCATTCATTCGGCCTCCCCTTGCTTGGCCGTCGTCCTGTTGTTCAGGCGTTGCCCTCTGGTTCGGTAGTTTCCTCCTGGTCCAGTTTTTCCTCTGCAGCTTTCCTAGGAGCATCAATATAGGTTAAATTATTACATGACCTATATAAGTCTTCATATTTAGCTTGCAATAAGGAACAAAACGTTTCCCCTTAATAAAACAGGAGTTTCTTTATTTATAAATCAAGTCTTCGATGTGCAGCAAAAGGCGGCCAAAGTCACCCGACAAGGCTTTGCAGGCGGCATTTCGGACTGGTCAGAAATATGGATCAACTAAAATTCTATTTTGCTCGAAGGAGAGCATTCGGCAATATTGCAGTACGTCCATAATCGATGGGCAAATTCTGGTAGAAGATAATTAGGAGCATGTATTTTTACGTTGCAAAGAAAAAAGGAAGTGTGACCATATTGACTAAGTCCGATGCTCACGATACTTAACGACTAGGTGTTAGGGCAGTTAATATGCTGTAACTATACACATACTGCATAGTTGCAGCGTTTATAACATAGTTATACATTCTGCATAATTACAGAGGTTTGAGAGAGACGTTTCTGGGTGTTCCTGGGTGTTTTTTTCCAGCAAAAGTTTATCTCCAGCTCCAAAGTGGCATTGAGTTATACAAAAACATGTTTCCAAAGTACTGCGTCCTTCCGAGAAAAGAGAATAGTGTTTTGCTCACCGCAAAAGTGAACTACCTTTTTCGCACTAGCACTTGATTACATTGCGTCAACTTTCGTGCCCTTTCGCGACTTTCGAACTGACAGCTCGAAAAATTCTCTTCTGTAAAGTTTCATTCGTGCAGGCTCCTACCCTGTACTGACCATAAAGGTAAAGGTGTCTCGGCATATTTATAACTACGAATTCGCCGATTTGCAATGCAGCAAGCACCAAGAAAAGAAACAAAGAAGTGTATTTACCTTGAGTTGATAACCGTTTGCTATCCATCCTTCACGCTCCGACGAAGTGGCAGGCCCAATGAACTAATGATCACCGCACTATTCAGCACTCGTAGCAGTAAAACAAAATAACTTTCTTGAATATCTGCTGTAACCATGCCACAGATGCCGTGCCTGCCAACGTGCCATGTGCGTACGCGCTCCTTCCCGGACGCCATCTTTGTTGCCCAGTGTGTACAGACGTTTCCGAGGATTCCCGCCAATTTTAGCAAAACTAAAAAAAAGCAAAAAAAAAAAAACGGATATTTGCAACATAAAATAATAATAAAAAATTCTGACATATTCAGAGGCCACTGTTTCCATGCGGAAGTTTTTCTCATTTTGATATTTAAAAAAAAGTACTTTGTGCAAGTGCTATGATTCCGATTGTACCAATATTTTAATTGTAACTGGGCTGAAAAAAACAAAATATGTACAATTTTTCCTCCATACGAGTTTCATCAAAAAATCACACAATTTAAAGTAATGGCGCATTTAGAAGCCTATTTACTCATGTTCAGTGAAAAAAAAAAAACGATGAAGAAAAGGTGTAGCTACTTGAATTTACAAATGGGACATCTGAACCTAACTAGGATAATTTTGACTAAACCAGTGGAAAGTGGGAATTGGTAAAGTGGGACCACTTGTGAAACCACTTTAAATTTTCATTTGGGTTAAAATAACCAATGAAAGACAACTGAAGATAGAATTGTGTATCGGGTGTCAATTGAAAAGTACAGTTGTGATAATCAACTGGACATTTTCGTCCCAATTGGCATAACAATTGTACATCCTAATGCCAGTTGGATTCAACTAGTTATTTTGGTGCCAACTGAGCTTGCAATTGGCACCAATTGGCACACCCAGTTGTTTACTTAATGCGAAGTGGATCCAACTAGTTACAATTGGCATCAGTTGAACTTCCAATTGGAACCAACTGGCACAACCAATTGTTTACTTACTGCCAATTGGATCCAACTAGTTACAATTGGCATATCAATTGAACTTTGTGGGGACCCTCTCCCTGGCTCCCCCGCGCTCCGTGACCTTCCCGGTCCCCGCCGCCGTATTGTCGGGCGCTCCTTCGTTCCCTGTGACCTTCCCGTTTCCAGTCGCCGGCCTGTCGCAGAATGTCCGAGCTCTCCGGGAGGTACGGGGCAAGCGCCCCCTCACCCAGCGCTGACGTCGGAGGGTCGGCTCGCGGCAGGTTCCCGATTGGACGGTCGGCGGGACAAGGACTTGGGAAGGTCTTAAGAAGGGCAACGGAGACAAAGGAAGAGGGCTTGGGCTGCCGACTTCACAAGGGACCGGTCATGGAGGCGAGCTCGGACGGCGCTGGACGCTGGCGCAGGGAGTGCGGGCACTACGTCGAGTGGCGGACTCGACAAACGGACCGGACAGCGACCCTGGACGACGATGTTCCCATGACGCGGTGTGGACGACCACCGCTGGGACTTGGAGCAGCTGCTCGGGCAGCGGACTCTCCCCCGGCCTCGCTGATGACCGTCCCCCGATCCCAAAACCCCCCAAGGCAATGAGTGAGTGAATAAACCCTTTTGCCGAGAGCGAAGTATTGAAGTGTCATATTCATCCGGAGACAGGGTCAGAGGGAATCGGAGCTAGAAGATGCCCGCATAAACTGGCGCCGCAACGTGGGGCCTGATTTTTGATCAGGCAGGCATTTCGATACCTAACCTGTTTCCGGTTGAATTGGGGCACTGTTTCGCGCTCTTTTTGGGGGTCATCTTTGTCGCGGGAGCGCCGCACGAAGTTTCGTTGCGGGAGCGCCGCACGGAGGCCCTGACATTATCGCCTGTCTGACTAGGAGGCGCGGATTTTGACCGCTGTTTTAAGGGATTAACCCTTTTGCCCAGCCTGTCAGGAATTTACTTATCCCCCGTTACGAGAAGCGCCATGAGTATTTGCTGTTCAGCGTACCGTTCGATGCTGGCAGGTTGATCCTGCTACGCAAAAGCGCTGTGTGCGTCGAAATTACCGCACCCCTCGGGGCATGTAGCGTCGGGCGTCACCCCACCTACGCCTCCGGCCGTCCACGTCTGCTGGGAAAGATGCCGGCTCACGGTTTGGGGGATGTGACGCGCCTAACCGCCTTTGTTCGCGTATCGATGTAATGGTTTGTAACGCTTGTTACTGATCGGACGCGTTAAAGAGGCATCGCTTTGGGTGGAGAACGCTCCCATTGCGGATGGCGGTTGCATGGACTGTGTTTGGAAATTATTCCCGCATTGCATTTTGTCCGTGAGGGGACTAGCGTCTCGGTTTGACCGCATGCTAGCTCCCAGTTGGCCTTGCTTGAGCCGTCGGCGCGGTTTTGAGCGTCGTTAGTTGACAGCGTTTTAAGGTACGGATGCGCTCTTGTGGTTCCGACCAAGATCGCTTTGAACGAGTACCTTGTGGCCAGAGGCTACATTTAGGGGCTAAGCCCACTAAATCGTGCCGGGTACGCGATGTCCGGTGCGTGGGCATCGGAATCCCGAAAGCCACAGAGTTTCCGTGTTCACTTATCAGTGGCTGTGCGTGTGTAATGCTCCGTGGAGTCCAGTGTGACGCGATGGGCATGACCCGTGCGTATCTGGTTGTAGAGTCGTGAGGTTGATTCCGTTTAATTGTGCGCACAGTGGGTTCCGGATCCTCACACCGCCATATCGATGGTTGAGCCTCGCGGCGGGAGTTACTCTTTAATTTCGTTTTCTCCGTTTCCGGCGGAACGGCGCGCTTGCCGCCGTTCCGGAGGAACGGCGGCAAGCGCGCGCTTCTGCGCTGCCGCCGGATGCAGTACGGTTCTCGGCCGTGCTTGGGTTCGCGTTGGAACGCGAGGGCGTGGAGAGCGTAATTGGTCGTGCAGAGGCCTGGATTAGAGATAAATTATAAATTTAGCGCAGAAAAGACAGCTAGGTGAGAAAAGAGCTGGGCTCGTGCAGTGAAGAGCTGCACGAGGGGAGTGGCGGTCTTGCGAGGATGTGACGAGTTGTTCATAGTTTTATCCTGTACAGATGCGCGGTTGGCCCGGGAAAACGTACGGTTCACGTCGGCGGGTACGTGCCCGGGAAGCCTAGAAATTATGGCAGCGGCATGACCGTCGGCGGCCTATAACTGTTGTGCGTTGGGTCAGCCCGTCGCTGTACTAACTGCAGCCTTTGCACGAATGGGTAGCGGGTGTTGGAATGCGGCGGTAAATGCTGTAGACACTTCGACGCTGCGGAAACTGTTTATGCAGAGCAAATATAGTTTATTAGCTCGTCCATCTCCAAGACTGGCCGGTTAGATAATTTGGCATTTCGGTATCGCGCTCGTTGCGCGGAAGTTGAGAGGTGCGCGTGTGGGATACTTACATTGTTCGAACCCTGCCTGTCCTCACAGTCGCAAGAAGACTTTTCAGTCATGCGGCGGGTTGACTTGGCTGGGGGCGAGCTTTGTGCGTAACCTACTGCGTTTGTATGTGGACACGTTGCTCGATTCGAGAACGTTGAAGAGTCGCGAGACGCGTTGACGGCGTACCTTTATTGCTCGATCCCGGCCGGCCTTGACATCAGCTGGAAGACTTTTTAGTTATGCGGTGTCGGGGTTTGGCCGGGGGAGAACTCTAACGTGCGTCGATGCGCTTGTCGCGGTTATCGAGCCCGTGCGGGGTTCGGTGCGGACCGCCGTTACGCGCTCGTCGCTCCTGTTGGGTGGTCGCCTCCGAGCAGTGAAGCGGTAACGTCTGGTACATGCCCAAAGGTTACGGACATAGCCGTGTAAATAGGCTGTCCAATGAGATCTGCTGTTCGCACGATCCAGGTACTGTTCCCTTTGTACTGGTGTAAGTGGCCGGTACCACGGAACAACGGCCTCTCAGTAAGGTGATTACCCCTTCTGATGAAGGCGTGCTGCGTAGCTTGGCTGTAGCGTGTTTGTAGCTCGGTTAGCGTGAACGCCGAGTGCATGAGTGCCCGTCATGGGTTGTTGGCAGCATGTTCCTTCCGAGTCGCACCTCGCGAACGGGACTGGATTTGTGACCGTTTCTGTTTGACGGAAGGTTATTCTTAGTTTTTGAGGTTTTGTGCGTTCTTCGCGAGTGTGTTGGAGATTAATATTGTTGTCAGAGGTGTGCGGTTCTGACGCTCTGGTAGATTGCTTACTGTTTTAAAAGAATGCGGTTGAGTTTGATAGGAGCAAAGGTTGTATAGTGGGCGTATGTACGATTTGAGTATACAATGAGTGCTCACTCTTTTTAGTTCAGGAATAGATTTCCTCTTATGTACCTCTTGAACGTGTAGCGTGACGTTCTTGATGATTGCCTGCCCGTTAGTATTGAAATGAAGAGTTTTGTTTTTATTTCGTGGCATGTCCAACGATCGAAAGATTTTGGTTTCGTCTCGCTGTCTGATATAGCGTGCCGCTATTCGTTTTTGCGCATTTCGCTGTCTGTTACATTAGGGACGGAAGTGAACTTTAAGTGCCGGCGTGTTGTGTGTGCCTGAGTGCCCGTCCGTGTTGTGAGCTGTGGTGCTCCGGACCAGTTCGTGGACCGTGCTCCGTCGGTCACGAGCTTCCCAGTGAATCAACGTTCACCGCTGACCTGCTTGGTTTGATGCCATCATCATCATCGAGGGTGCTCGTCGTCATCGGCGACACTCAGCTGAACGAGCTCCCTGCCAAGGGTCCTGGGGACCACGCAACCTCAAGCCCCCCGGGGTCCGAGCCTTGAGGGAGGGGAGGTGTGGGGACCCTCTCCCTGGCTCCCCCGCGCTCCGTGACCTTCCCGGTCCCCGCCGCCGTATTGTCGGGCGCTCCTTCGTTCCCTGTGACCTTCCCGTTTCCAGTCGCCGGCCTGTCGCAGAATGTCCGAGCTCTCCGGGAGGTACGGGGCAAGCGCCCCCTCACCCAGCGCTGACGTCGGAGGGTCGGCTCGCGGCAGGTTCCCGATTGGACGGTCGGCGGGACAAGGACTTGGGAAGGTCTTAAGAAGGGCAACGGAGACAAAGGAAGAGGGCTTGGGCTGCCGACTTCACAAGGGACCGGTCATGGAGGCGAGCTCGGACGGCGCTGGACGCTGGCGCAGGGAGTGCGGGCACTACGTCGAGTGGCGGACTCGACAAACGGACCGGACAGCGACCCTGGACGACGATGTTCCCATGACGCGGTGTGGACGACCACCGCTGGGACTTGGAGCAGCTGCTCGGGCAGCGGACTCTCCCCCGGCCTCGCTGATGACCGTCCCCCGATCCCAAAACCCC